TTCAGATAGGCAAAGAAATCTACTAAGAATATTTCTCATATTTATGTGAATCAAAAGCAAGCATCGACAGCTAATAGTACATTGATTTCATAATGCGTAGTATTCAAACGACAAAAAGGAATTCAATCAACGTTGTGTTTTGCAACAGTTTTAGATCAATCATAAACCAGTCATCATGAAAAAAGAAACAAAAGAAAGGACGCCCCAACTATCAGACTATGATTTTTGTTTGATGATGTATATTATATGTATATTGGTTGTTAGTATCTGAATGGTTATTATACTTATCTTAAATATTAAACAACAATGTGAGTATAGACAAACACAATTTCATAATTTTAGTTTTCATAAAATATTCTCAAGTTATTTTATTTTTGCAAAAGAATATCCAAAACGTACTAGTCAATATTTGTGAGTTATACCGTCAAAATATAATTTTTTGAATCTTTGTACAGTTAACAGCTTCATTCATATGAATATCTTAACATAAGAATGAAAAAAAAATGATCAATCACTAAAATTTTTTGTTTTTTGCATGCAAATGAGCACTCATATTTCATCATGTTTATTCATCTGTTTTAGCTTATGCAAGCGATTCAACAACGACAACGGGTGAGTATATTTCTCTTTCATCAGATTAGAAGAACATCATTCAATAATGCAATTTCCACTACGCATATCTTTTTCAATGTTATATCAGTAACACAGTTTTGTCGTCGTTACATTCTGATGTCGTTATGAGAGAATAAAAAGAGATACTAAATACAATCTTTATGACCACTTGTGGCGTTTTGATGAATAGACAAAGTTAGGTTTGCATTATAAAAATCGTATATTCATTGCTCTTGCCACTAATAAATTTTAGATAATTATTTTTTATCATGATTTGTTTTATCTCAGGTAAAGTCAATACTTGCTATGTTGTGCTCTTGAAGATAAACTTAAAGACACGAATGAATTTTTCAGATCACTCTTACACAGGAGTTTCACCTATCGATCAGATATAATTCACCAATAACATGCTTCTTTTTCTTGTTTAGCTCAGACTCAAACGAATCTAATGAATACAATAGCAACAACTAAGCAGGCATATCATCCTGTACACACTGGCAACTATATTCTACTATCGGAATGACGATGAACATTGATACGACGAATTGTAGTTTTAATTCAACTCCATACTATTTCACTAGTCTGGCTGGTTCTAGCTCTCATTGGGTGTTAGACGGTTACACTGCTATTTATTTTCCAACAAATACTTCATTTACAATTTATGCTCGTCCATGGTCTATTTTGAATAATATACTCCTGCTTAATTATTCTCAAGTATATAAATGGAATATAAATTGGTTTGGTTTTTCTTATTAAAAGTGATTGCGTATACTACTTTATTGTATCTCGTATAGTTTCGAAGTTTAATAAAATTGTACGTTTACAATCAACGCTAAAAACTTTGTTTTTTTTAATCTATGATGCAAAAATACTTCTCGGATAAAAACCGATCAATGGTATAACTGAAACAATAAAAGTTATTTATATTAGTTAGAATAGTTTCGAGTTTCGTGTGATTGAAAATGTATCGAAAAACTAAAACTAAAGCTAGGATAGTTTTATGATACATGATTAAGCAGTTTTTACATCCTGTACTTTTTGAAAAAAAAAAAGCAATGATACTTTTGTAATAGTTGAATTAGCAAAGTTAATCGGGTGTGAGCCAAAAGAAGCTTCACACCTACACCCTAATTATTTGGATATACACAATTAATTAGAGTGCAGCCAATATTGTAGTTTTGAATGTTGAGAACTAAACTAGCATTTTACAGTAAGATGGACCAAACTTTTCAAAGAAAGTCTATGAGAAAGAAAGCTTGATAACATCATGATCAGTTCATCGAATTCTGCAAATTGACAAGCAAACCGATTAAAATCGAAGACTCACACTTGAAGATGTTCTGTCATCAGTGAGTCATTACTCGCCTCCACATCCGTTTCTTCGAACGACATATAAATCATAGCAAAATTTATCTGAACGGTAACACAAATATGCATATCTTAAAGTCATCAAAGAGCTTATATGAATTAAAATGCATCGATGATGTAAAGAGATTGCAATAAATTTACAATCTGATAGAGAATGTTGAGGGAGTAATCAAGTGAAAACCACTTTTGTTTCTATTGCTTGTCTTTTAGTTCCCTTTTTTTCGAAGACAAATCGTTATTTTTGTGCAGGTGAAAGAAAATGAATGCAAAAGAAGATTATACTGCACTATATATGAGAAAAAAAGAAATTCAAAAGTGAGTAGTCATTCGGTTCGCCGAATAAAAAATCATAAATGCTGTCCTGGCATCTCATTTGCTTCCGAGATATTTTCTCTCCAATGGGATGAAGTGTGTATCTTTGTTTCACCTACACCCGCATCACCGTGATTGTGAAAACATGAAAAAGATTTTCCATAAGAGATCTTGCTCTGAATTCCGTAAAGCCTTCGACACATTACAAGGCTTCTCTTGGATACATGAAACAAAAAAAATTTTAGAAGATCCCCTTCAGAAAATCGGCTTTTGTAAAATAATTTCTAAGCTTATTCACTTTTTTACTGTTTAAGCCCATAATGATATTTAAGTTCATTATGGCCGCTATTTTGCTTCCATTTGCCATAACGACGTGTTAGTTCCGAGTAAAAAGTCATTTAAATACTCATTTGCAGTTGATTTTGAAAAGATTCTTTAGGTTCTCTATAAGAAAAAAAACGTTTCCATGACCGTATGATCTAATGGACGTAGTACTCATTTGTACGCGTAATACATGAAGAGACCTATGTAAAAATAAAAACATATTATGTAAAATTGCGCTATGCATTAACTAACCCTATGGCTGGGCAGTTTTTACAAAAAAAAATGAAAATTTCGTTTTTTGCTATACTTATGATCGTGAATTAATCTGTAATTTCAGTTTATTAAAAAATTTTATAAATATGGATATTTAGAAGTTTTTCAAAATGTGGTACAGTTCAAAACAAGATACAACATATCAAGCAACATTACATTGAGCATACTTCCCATGGAAAAAAAGGCGAAAAATGGTGTAATTTACATCATTTTAATGGAAAATTTTCCACAGAGACATGATGTCGAAAGCGAAAAACAGCCATGATTTAGCATCAGAAGGACACTTTAATGAATGTTTTTAGAACTTATGAAATTATTTCCAAAATTTTCTTGCATGATAACAATTAAATTTACACGAATTTCACGTGATGAGAATTATTAAAAGTGTATCAAAATCACTATCTTTATCTCAGGGTGTGGGTGGCTGTGGGTGTGAGTGGGGTGTGGGTATTAGGTCGAATACGAGAGAATAACACCCACATCCACACCAACTCCCACACCCACAGCCTCATTATGGGATTAAAAAATGCCTGTTATTCGTACATCTTTCATTGATAATCTTAAAATCTTCGGAAAACTTATGTTTCCTAGCAGATTGCTTTCAGAATTTTGAAAAAGTACAAGGACATTACGATTACTTGTTTTTCTTCTGTTATTCTTCGTTTTTGTTTTTTACACAAGTAAATAAGTCGTATAACTCTCTTACTTTTATTTTCAATAGATGCTGGTATATCTTTATTAATTTCTATAATACTATATCGCTCAAAGAAGAACTGTTATCGGTATGCAATAAATATGTCTATATTTATATAGTTTTATTACCTGTAGACATGAGAGTAAAGAGAGCTTTCAATGTATAGTTGTAGACAAAAGATAAGGTGATATTTTATTCATATTAAGAATTTTAAAAGAAGAAAAAAGTGTATTTTTGAACAGAAATTTATTATCTTGTGTTCCTTTGAATATTGTAAAAACTTTTCAAATTATAGCTTGCAACCAGAATACAAGCACGTATTTTGGCACCATTTCCCTCATACCCTTCTTAACTTGTTTTCAAAATGACTATTCGAAACTCTCATGATACGAAAAAAGCAAACCAATTACATTTGTCATGGTGAATATCAATGCTTTCATTTGTAGATGTGTCATTGGTATGCGCATGCACATAAAACAATAAAAGCTTCTGGCTCTATCTTCGCCAACACTGAAATCTTCTAGGCGAATAACAAAACATAAATTTGAAGCAGCATGTTTTTAGTATGCAGAGAATTGACGAATATAAAATTGATTCAAACATTCTCTTTTTCTTCAAAACGAGATACTCGACGACATTTATTATCCACCCGCACGTGATAAAGCAAAACGTAAGAACTTGCTTTCTTTCATAATCGAAACTTGTGACAAACACTTTACTAATGGGTCAATGCCATATGAAAACATCGGCGCGAGTTGCGCCGTCTATTAGTGAATCAACAGAGGTGTCCAATAACAGAAAAGCGCCTCCGTTTGTTTTAGCAAAGGGTCAACGTGTGGCATGCTCTGTCATGATAAGCTACTGTTCCGAAGACAAGGTTCTCTGTCATAAACTTGCTGCACTTCTCGTCAAAGATGATTTCCAAGTTTCAATCGAGAGTGACAAAATTCGTAACAAATTTGACACAGTGATGGCCGATAAAATAGATGATAGTGACGTCATTCTACTTTGCATAAGTGATGCCTATACTGATGACAACTGTTGTCAAAAAGAAGCTCGCTATGCTGCGGATCAGCACAAGATCATCATTGCTGCTGGTGTCACATCGGATTATGTAGTCGAAGGATGGCTCAGTTTCATCATAGCTTACAAGCCTTTCTTCAAATTGGCAGGATCCAGCAGCGACTTCGAGATAGGCTACAACGCATTAGTCAAGCAACTAGTAAGCATCTTTTGAGTAATTAAATGAAGTAACGTTCAGTATAGGTCTATATTCTATGTTTAGCTTCGATATAGGAGACTAGATCCTTCTATAAACCAGAAATCTGGTCGAGTGTTAACACCAACACAAATAGTGGAACGCCGAGCAACGTACGATGCAGCTCTAAAAAAGCAAATTGCTTCTGATCAACAGAAAATGCTTAAAGTCAAACAGCATGTTGATGATTTGTTGAAATCAACTGAGAATGAATCATATAATGACGATTCTGAAAGTCTCGATTTCATCCGTACACTGACCTATTGGAAAGAGAAGTATCCTCAAGTGACTTGGTTAAACTTTCCTCCATTTACACATACAGGCGATATTAATGATGCTGTATTTCAACTGCCACCAGGAGTGGTAGCTGATCGTAACGATCCCCATCATTCTAAAATGATGACGACAGATGATTATGCTGCTGGCAAAAATCTCTAGAACACATTAGATTAAGATCTTGAATATTATAAAAAGTGTATGGGTAGATGTGGGTTTAGGTCTTGTTCTGGACTTAATACTGATCCGCTTTCGAAATAGATCAAAGTTTCTATGTACTTTAAAAAAACTCACATCTGCCATACCATCGTCTTTTTTTATTGGCAATTCCTTCGATATTTTCAGTAATTGTGCTATATTTTGAATCAAAAAATTTTATTCGGAAGAAAAAATCAACATGAAGCGACTTCTACAGATCAATATTTTTGCTGAAAGTATTATTTCACACCTTCAGATGTTGAACACAACATTTCTAATTCTGCAGCATTGTCTTTCATCTTTTGTACAAATTTTAAATAAACATTCAGTTGTTCTTTAGTATAATTATATTTTTGAATAAAATATTTAGCCAATTTTTCCGAAGTATTCCTCTTTTCTTTGAGACGCTTTAATTCACTGGATTCCTGCACTGGCATGTCACTTCCATATATAAATGTTATTCCCAAAGAATAGTATTGGTTTTTTCGACGTGGTATGAAATCAGTGGACGAGAATTCTCTAGAAAAAACTTGAGATACACCACCGAAAAACTGAACTTTTTCTGTACAACGTCCATATGTTCGATCAGTGTCTATCGAAATTCTATTAATAGATAATTGAACTTCTTTTTGTTCCCTTCTTGAATATGCAAAAATATCTTGACTGATTACAGCGAGGGTAGATGAAGAATCTGTGAAATTATTTTCAGAAGCCGACTGAACATATAAGCCGAAGTCTTTGTAAGTACTTGAAGGTATTTGCATTGGAAGTTTATTATCATAGGCAGCTTTTCGTTTAGATACAATTGATGATAAATTTTTCTTGAGGTATTTGTTTAAAGTTACCAACCAATATTCTTCGAATATGTTACGGTTACCTTAAAAAAAATTAGGAATTATAGCTTCAATGGCACACAATATAAATAGTTAAATAGAGAAGAAATCGATTAAGATTTTTGGCAAGTATCTATAATATGGATCTCAAAGGTTAGAAGCTCAACCAACTTTGTATCTTTTTTCACCATGGTGAAGTTGTGGATATGGATGTTGGCATGAGTAAACACAATGAGCTTCACTAATATCGACATGCAGACCGCACCGCACCTCATACCTACACTCTTCACAGTCTATCACAGTTATAAGTTAATTCTGTTTCTCATTTTGCAAGCATGAAACACGTGTTAACCCTTTCTTGCCTTTGGCTAAACCTGACGGTTCGGAAGAACGATTCTATCAATAACAGCAATCTTATGACCTCTACTATACACAAGAGAAGTTTAAATTAAATCAATCAAGGGTCAAAATATCGAATACATAATACGTTCGTTATTCTTTTTATTTGAAAAATGTCTGAAAATGACAACATCGCAGTACGTGTCACAACATTATGTATTCGAAGAATGTCAAAAAACTTATTTTTATGGTAAATAATAGTTTCGAATTGTTGATTTAAAGTATACACTATTTAGACTTTAGATAGATATAAAATCTTTTGCTAAATTTCTCATAGTTTAAAAGAATCGATGTTTTATAAAATGATATTTATAAATACCATAGAGCAAGAAAGAATTAACATCTTTTTGTCACAGTTCTAGGAAAAGAAACATGATCGACAGTTTGTTTCATTAATCATAACTTCAAAAGAGAAAAATCAAAAATCTAGGGTTGTATGTTTTTGAAGTTTTCATAATCGGACATGTTAGTAAATGTAGGATGAACACTGTCAAAATCATACATTGTCGAGTGTATTTTATGCATAATGAACGTACGAAAAGTATGTGTTGACTACAATCTCGTGAAATCTGCAACTCTTGAAGGAAAAACTCTAACACTATGATAAAATGAGATTTAATCTACATTATAGTATTATTTAAGCCTATGTCGTTCAAAGAAATATGAGAATGATTTATCGAAGGAGATACTCGTTAGTAGAAATGTATCAAGAATGTTTTGAGTTCGAATGGTTTTCGTATAACTAGATGTTCCTTGCTTTGTTTAACGTACTTCAATGATCGATCTTTTTCTTTTCAGTCATCCAACTCTATTTTATTTCAGCTCCTTTGTTGAAAGTTCAAAGACCAGAATACCTCTTGAAGAGAGCCATTTAATCACTGCTCAAGGACCATTTGGTCAGTCATTTTAAAGAGGTCCAATATAGCTGTCGATAACAATACATGTAATGTTATAACTACTTTTTACATTCATCTAAAGTAATACGCACTTTTGCGGAGCTTTTAGATTAAATAGATTAAAATAAGTTTTGCCTCGAATGGATGCATATATTTACTCCAAGTTGATCCAAATCAGACATCAGAGATGTCCATGTTAGAGATACGTAGATTTTCAGTCGCAATGAAAATCTCTTTGGAATGCTGATGGACGCACGACAAGAGATAAAAAGTGCATTGTTTGTCTCAATCATTGAGTAAAATCGAAAGAAATAACTCGCAATAGAAGAATCTAGTTATTATGATATGTTCGTATTCTGTTAAGAAACTTACGTTTAGAACAACTAGTTATCACTTGATTATTTGGTTTTCTTTCTTCCTTGTGAATGTCAGAAATGATATTCACCATTGTCTGATGCTTTGCTTTCGAAGATTTTCGACCAGTTATATTTTTAATTAATGATCGCTGTTCTACTGATGATTTTTCCGGCGAATCATCAATGCTGTTTTGTATAAGACTCGATCTATGTTGTAGTATAGTTGTGAAACCAGGTTTTGTGTATCGTAACTAAGTAGAATAAACTATGTATTCATAATGAAAATGAAATTTATTTTTATTCATTTTACCAATTCAAATAATAGTCGTTCGTATTCTAATTCGAAATAATTATCTGAACCAAATAAATGGAAAAAGTATGGTCCTTCAAATAGATTTTTATCCAAATTGATTAGTGAATTATATTGAATATTTACAAGAAAAACTATTTTATGTGCCCGAAAAGCATATTTAGCTTCTTTTATGCATGATAAATTTTCGTAATAATTTTCGCTAATACACAATATAATACAATCGGATTTATCCATTTGAGAGCATAAATCGCGTTCCTCTTCAGCTAGATTAGAATTTGTTCCGATCGAGAAACCTTCTTCAGTTAATCGATTGATTAAACGTCGACATTTTCTTATATCATTTTGACTATAACTAATCACAATATTATATAAGATAGTCATTTTAGTATACGTTCTATTTTCAGATTGTGCCAAAGTACTGACAGATAAACTCGGCCATCTTATAACTGACATATCATTCACTGCTTGTTTCATTAATTTAGACAGGATATGAAACTTCTTTTTGGCATCTGAGATACCATAAGATGGACCAATAAATTCGATTAGATTTTTCTTTTCCGTGAGTTTCGGTAATACATATCTATCTTTACAGTATTTAAAAAAACAATTTATTGTATGTTGATCCCAAGATTCAAATATATCATTAGAGTCTGCAATTTTTTCTTTAGCAACACATCGTGAAAGATATTCGTTTATTTTTTTTTCGCATCTAGTTACATATTCTTCATCGCATCCAAACAGCATTACTTTAATGACTAAAATGAATAAATAAAAATTAATGTGTTAATGTGAATAAAACCAATACTTATACTCTGCTTGAGTTCTCGAGGAATTGAAAGATTTTTAAAAACTCGCTACCTTAATTCGGATCCTTTAATGACTCTATAGCCGAATGGTCGATTCCCTATGGAAACCTCTCTTAAATAGTTTCCTGCAGCCGGGTCAGGTACCAGGTACGTGATCTGACTCGGACCTGAGTTCCGGGTATGAAATGGCTGGGCCGGGTCGGGTACAGAATTAGAGCTTACTCCATGCCCGACCCAGCCGTCAATGAAATCCAAATTTGTAAGAAAATTTCAATTTCGAGAACCGATTTTTGTTAAATACTTATAATTATCAAGACAATTTGGTCATGAATCATCAATGATTACCTACTAGGAATAAGATTTGGGTGCTAGTGGTTGTTTTTTCCATATACTCATACTCCATATCGAAACCTACATTTTAAATCAAGCTGTTTTTAGATTATTATACTCCGAAATACTTTTAAGTATTCGTGCTTTATACTAATGGCAATAATACATACTTAGCGAGTTTCGAAAGACTTCATTTTTTTCATACAGTTAGCCCTCCTCAAAGGTATAGCGAAACTGGACGAACACCGGTGTCTTCATGACAGTAATTGAATCCTGAATCTTTAGATTCTGTCGCTTTTGGAGGTACTTTTAGATGACTTTTCTTTTTAAAATACACACAATAAAAAGAAAAATGTATTTCCTCATGTATACTAACAGTATGAGCCCACGCCGCCTATTTTTTATTAAAACCGCCGGCTCGAGCGGCTTACTTGTTTTTCATCAGTTTTTGATCGATTTTTCCATAAAACCGATATTGATCTTATTGAAAACATCATTTCTAACTTTAAAAAAATTGATTTTAATCTGTTTTAGTGTGCTATTTTAGATAGCACTACAATTTTTTTTATTGGTCAATCTTCTAACTTATAGTTATTTTTCTAGCGGCATCTTTAATGAAACACTCAAACTCGAAAACTAAGCAAAATTAGCTGATGTGGCTAGTACCAGTAGCTTCAGCGCGTTTACAAATATAAATGAGCGCGAATTAGTCTCAAATCTAACAATTTTGTAAGAATTAAAAAATATTCATCTAGTGAGATATGAAAAAAAAAATCAAGAAAAAGAACCGTGGTTAACCGTCGGTTTTAGTCCGATTTCGGCGACATGGGAAGAATACATTTAATTTTGACAACTCGACTCAAACGCTCATTATTTAAAAGCCAGACCTAGTCGAGTCAGGTTTGGTCCCAGGTGCGATGTGGCCGGATCCGACCGGGTTCCGGGTTTAAAAAACTCAGCTGAATCCAGTCCGAATACCAAAAGTAGTACCCATGTAGGGCACTACTCTTAAGATCTTACCTGTAGTAGGATAATTCAAATACATAAAATTATCTTCCATTGTTGGAATTAAATTCGAGAATTGTTGATATAAATTTTCTTGTTCAGGTAAACAGACGAATACAATTTTTAACTGTAATTTATTTGTTTCTAAATGTCTTTTAATTTCAGCCACCATTATCTCGGCTAAAATAGTTTCATCTGTAGATGTATCCGGTACGGCAAATGCAATTGATTTTGTAGTTTTTTCTTTTGTTATATATTCCATAGATTTTGTAACAAATGTTCGTATTGATGATCGTAAAATTTGATCATTGTTTATTAATGATATAGGTAACCAATTAGAAAATAAAACTCGTTTACAATTTAATTTACCTCCATTTGTTTCAGTGTACATAGTACCATCGACATCTATATAAGTTACTTCATTCTGTATTTCACCTAATCTTTCAATGACACCGTCTTTCAAACCATTGAATGTTGTAGAAATTACAATCACATCAGTCTAAATAAACAATTGAAGATATACTATTCTGCTTCTTTTTTTGTGAATTATTTTTTTTTTAAACATACTTCTTGTAAAGCAATGTCTCCTGTACGAAGTTCCATTGATCCATTGGCTACAATCATTTTTTTAAATACATCGGTTGAAGAATAAAATTGTTTTGATTGTTCGAATATTGTTTGTGATACTTGCGTGTTGGGAATTAATGCCTTTGGCACAGGATATGATTGATAATTATGCTTCAATTCAGTTTTAATATAACATTTATAACGTTCTGCAATAATTCTCAAGTGCTGTTCTTCTTTTATAGCGATACCTTTACATAATTCGATAGTTTCAAATGTTTTATTTATTGATACTTCTGATAAAATTTCTTCAATATACGATTCGATATCATTTTTTACATGCTCAGGTGCTAAAAACTCATTTGATTCCAATTGTAACTTAATACCATAATAATTAAACCGTCTTTCGATATGTTTCAATGGATTTGAATGACATTCAGTAAATGCTTCAATCTACATTAAATTCAAATAAATCATAACTATTTAATTTATTGAATGAGATGTACTTACTTGTTGTTGACTTTTAAAATTGAGTTTATAGGCAATTAAAGTATTCTTTTCGAAAACATTCAAGATTTCTTTTTTTATTTTAATTACTTTTCTGCGATAACCGTAAAGAATAATTTCTTGTCGCTTGGCATTTGGCAAAACATCATTCAATAGAATAAAGATTTCATTATTTTCTTTTTCTCTTGATATTATTTCTCTTAGCTCTCTTTCAACATGCAAAGATCGTTCGTATGACGGTGGTAATTGTATTACGTCTAGCGAAACTTCATTTTCAATGAAATACATTAGGTTTTTAGCGTCAATAGTGCCAAATGGCTTCTTTGGTAAATAATACACGTATAAATCATAATTTTTAAGTACCAAAACAGAGGTTATATCGTCGATTCTTCGATTTATAAGTGTTTGAAGAAGATTCATCCGTGTTCCGACCATTGTCTGCAACCTCAGCAATTGCACAACTGTAAACAAGAAATCAAAACATGTTATCAACATTACTAGAGCAATCAATTGGATTAGAAGATACTGAGTGAGATTGTTCGTTATTCTAACATTGTAGCTAAATAAAAGCCTAGTTTAGAAGTAGTGATGATCACTTTTGATAGGCTTTCACAAAGAATTTCATCTTGTTCTCAAGTTTTTACCAATAGTGACGTGATTGAATTCTTTCGGCATCAAAGACGAAACAGAAACAAGGCAGGACGGGGGATGGTGGTTAAAACATGAAACGGAGTGAGAAAACGAGGTGTTGAAGTATCATCTTTAAATAACACAAATCAGACCAATTGAATTTTCTCTTTTGTATCTGTTTTTTATTAACACACTTTCTTTGTTCTGAAACATATTATATACGTAGAGAAAGCACAAATCATGCCGTATCTGAGAATATATTTATCTTCAGCAAAGAATGCATCTTAAGCTCTCTTCAAATGTCGATCTCAGCTAAAGGACATAAAAATGTCATGAAACTTTGAGGTGTCCTGGGGCTATAAAAGGACTTCTATGATAAAATGTTCAGCCTCTATCTTAATGTATAAGAAAGATACAAACCAAACAAGGGCAAAAAAATAGCTCATCGTATCTTCAAGAATTCTCTGTGATTATTCATTCGATAGCTTTTATTCGTGTTTTGTTTGAAACAGCATACCAGGATGCAGTGCTTATGAGGGCCCTTTTTTTAAAAATTCTTATCTTTCCGGAGTAAAAAGGACTTAACATGTTCACTCGCTGAAAAATCTATTAAAAAGAATATGCTTGTATTATAAAATTGCTTTTCAATATAATGATAGGAAAGCTTTATCAGAAAAGGACTCTCACAGGCATTGCAATTTTTGATGTCCTTTCAAAAACAAAATATTTGACTTTATATCGAATCACAGTCGACTTTCACTGGAGATCCATCGTTTGACTTTCATTTTTAGAAAAACGAAAAAGCAGTTTTTAGGATTTTCAAAAATCAAATGGTTTTTCAGAAATCTTGAAAAATTCTTGCACAAATGGAAATACCAGGAAACAACTTTTATCATCTTTGGGAAACCAGGTGACGGGCTATCTCCCCACGTCTCTATCTCAATTCGGGCCGTTCTGACGACACTGAATTTTTTGAGGTGACCTCAAAATGTAAAGTCTACATGTAACCAAAAGAAACACTTTTTATTTGGTTTTATATCTTTGTTGAGGCAGACGATAAAATTTTGATTTTCTTAAAAAAAGACGTGCGATGAAAATTGTAAAAAGACCGTATGATTTGAATTCCGTTTTATTTACTCTTAAAGATATGATAGCATTACTTCTTCTGATATTGAAAACACCCATGAGAAAGAAATTTGTATAAAAACGCGTTCCAACGCAAACTTTCAGAGGAAAAACGCTGTTTTTACGTTTAAACGCATCTTATTTTGTCTGAGACGCATCTAAACGCGTCGGTTTTCGTTTACAACGCGTTTAAATGCATTTTTTACATTGACAACGCGATTTTTCAATCTAAGATGCTACCTAAAAATGTCGTTCGAACATGTTTTATTTTATTCGTTACGACGCGTTTATTTTTTATGCATCTTGATGCGTTTTTTTATTTCTTTCACTGAAAAGATAATCTCTATACAAATGCACCTAAGCACATATTTTTCAACGCGTTTTTTTTACTGGAAAACGATTTTCCTAATATAGGTTTCCGAACTTGTATTTCAATTCATGCCTTTTCTTGTAAAAATAAGGCTTTTACAAGCACTGCGGAATGGATTTTTACATATGGGTGGCAAAGAATACATTAAAAATAGACGTGTCAATTTTTTTTTCTTGTACTTTCATTTGTAGATAAGCTGAATTATAAAAAAATATCTTTAAAAATAAATATAAATTATTATCATTTATATTTGAAATAAATTAAATATTTTTATTTCGAAAATTTTATGTTTTCGTGAGTCGAATTTTTTTCAAGTATGAGTTAAAACAAGAATATTTATATTTATTAGAGTATAAAGTATAATAAATTAATTTACTGAAATTTTTTTAAAAAAATCCAATCTATTTTTTCATATAAATTATAAATAAATGCGGAAACTTCGGATTCAAATCCGAGAGTTATGTGTACTCGAAAAAGTGAATCATTTAAAATCAATTATCCTAGACTCTCGAAAACATCAATATTATACTCGGAAATCTACCATTTAAAATGTTCATTTCTATTGCGGGTTGACAAATCAATAGGATTTGAGACCGAATTAAGCTCAGATTTCAACTCTTCTGTCTAATTTAGCCTCAGAAAGCCGTTTTACCTATAACTTAATTTCTATTGGTCAATATTCAACCAATAGACCTTCGAGGCAAGCGGAGTACAGATTCGAGTTCTCCATACTAGAAAACCTTCGATTATCACCTCTATGATAGAAAGACAGAGTTCCCCTTGAGGACCGATTGAAGCGTGCACTACAAACCGATCTTATTCCCGCTTATTTATCTTACCAATAGGTGAGTTAGTTTTGTTGTTTCTTAATATTTTATATATCATTCTATAGCTCTTGAAATTCTCTATCGAATGGTGCATAATAGTTGGGTTTTAATTGACTATGATAGGAAAAGTTCTTTACGAAAGTGGTAGTGGGTCGACTTTTCCATAGGAAGCCATAGGGGAAAATGCGTATTTTTGCAATAACGCAGGAACGCCTCGGCCGATCCTTCTCATCTTCGAATTCGATCAAGATATTGTTAAGATTAAGGTGTGTAGAAAGTTTCATCGCAATCTGACTCTGCTGTCAAAAGCTATCATGTAAACATCCGACCGGACGGACGGCCACTGACTATCCTATAGTGTACTCACTTTTTGAGTACACAAAAACTATAATTTGCTTCAAAACTAATATCAGATTCAGAATCGGCGTTAAAAACTGAGTCGATTAATGTATTTTGTGAATAATTATGAGCAAAAAACTTTTTTTGGAAAAATCCCCGTACCCCCCCCCTCAGGGATGGCCTGGTCAAAAATCACCATTTTTTTATAACTCAGCCATTTCTCGACGGATTCTTCTCATCTTCGAACTCGACCGAGATATTGTAAAGACTGAACTGTGTAGAAAATTTCATCGCGATCTGACTCTCCTTTCGAAAGTTATCGGATAAACGGACGGACGGCCGGACACACTGACCGATTTTAGTAGTGTACTCACTTTTTGAGTACACAAAAATTATGCATCTCAATTTTTAAATAATAGGAAAAGACAGCCCTAATTTTATAATAATTTCGTGTAGAAAATTATTTCTTAATTTAAGTAGAAAATTCAACAGTTTTACAAATGCGTAAGTATAGTCTAGTGGTATATTCTAGACTTCGTAATTACAAGTTCTTCTGGTCGAATCTGCTCTACGGTAACAAATAGATGCGTTGCAACGCGTTCCGTGTGAACTACAGCTACAGTAGATTGATAGACGAATATTTTCTCCAGAAGAGATACGAATTCTGTAAAAGTACCTTGCAGACAATGATCGAGTTGAAAATAACATTTTTTTCTTCTAAAATTTTAGGTCTTTTTAGTCTTATGGAATGTTTTTTATTACTTCAAAAAATGCGTTCAAACGCATTTTAAAAACTGCGTTTAAGGTCTAGCGAAAACATGCGAGCTAACAAAAAAACGCGTTTCGACGCAAAGTTTTATAAAAATTTTTTTCATGGGCATTTAGAGGACTTGTTTATAATTTAGCATTTATCTTGATTGCGATAATTAAATTTCATTTTAAAAGATGATCCGTCGAAGGATCTACAAAAACTGTTTAGACAAATCTCTATAGCGAATCGAAAAAGTCTTCCAAACGATTCCAATTAGGTGAGAAGTGACGGTGTTATACAGCTCTCTGGTTCTTGTAGAAGAAAAACAATTGTAATATGTAAGAAGAAATTCAATCTTACAGTTTCTATGGCATCTTGCATCGCACATCTTTTAGGAAAAACATATCAACTAGATCGAAAATTTTTTATCTCGTTTACTCATAATAAGATATACACCATTCGAAAGAGCGCGAAAAACTGAGTCTAATGATGTAGTTTTCGTGAAGACGTACTCCCAAGTCCCCAGCAAAAATTTTTAAAAAACGTTTCTCAATAAGCTCTATCATAGTGCTTCGTCCTCTTACCATTTTTTTTT